TAATTCCACTATAAATGAAACATATTTGATACCAAGTCACAGAAATTCATTTATAATAGCTATATTACTTTTGTACAATGTATTTGAAACTTTACATAAATAAACTTTATTTATGCCTATTTATCTGAAAATTTGCTACTTTGGAATCTATTCTCCAAAGGGTTTGATTGTTTGCTTGCTTGCTTGTTTTTGTTGCCTTGCCAACCAAGGCAAGCCTGACGGATTTCCCAGTGACAAAAGAAGTGGTCACTTCCCTCCCTCCCTTATTCCCTCCCTCTTCTCTCTCTCTCTCTCTCTCTCTCTGTCTGTCTGTCTCTGTCTCTGTCTCTGTCTCTCTGTCTCTCTCTCACACACACACACATACTTTCTCTCTCTCTCTCTCTCTCTCTCTCTGTCTGTCTGTCTCTGTCTCTGTCTCTGTCTCTCTGTCTCTCTCTCACACACACACACATACTTTCTCTCTCTCTCTCTCTCTCTCTCTCACACACACACACACACACTGAAATACACAAATAAACACAAGAATGAAATAATTAATGGCAAAAATAATCCCAATAGAAGCAATGAAACCAGAAATACTGTCTATATGACCAGGTCTACGCAGCTGATCAGCACATAGTTATGAGTATGGGTTTCATGAGATTGCATCACAAGGAAACATCTGATTGGTTTCTTAGTGATATTATTCCAGGAATAGCAGGTTAAAGCAGATTTGCATGGCAAAACAATTTTATATGGCCCTGATGTTATGACTTTACATTTTCTCAATTCCTTAATCAGTCTTAATTTGATCTGTATAACATACAGTATAGTTCAGCAATGAAAAACCAGATAAGAATCTTGAATAGTTAGAGGTAATCCAATTCCTGTTTTGTCTTTCATTCCAGATTTCTCTCTTTTGTGATGGGGTAGGACAACAGAGAAACATTTCCTTAATAGCAGGCAATTTTTAGGTCACATGTCATTATTGGCACATGGAGCAATCACTCTTATCTCTGTATGAAGCAATAAGATCTCCAGGCATCTACCCAGATTTTGGAATCAGTTTACAATTAGCTGTAAGCACTAATATATGTTAAGCAAAATGCCTAGCTTAGGTAAGGAATATTTTTGAATGCCTACAGATCTTTATTTGTCATAGGACACCAAAATATATTTTCATCATTTGAGCAAGAAATTACATAGATTTTCAGAACTCTGAAAATCAGAAAATGGCAGCAATAACAATCAAAATAAGGTAGGGCAGATGCTTCTATATATTCATTTATTTTTCATCCAAGATGAAGAATTTATATCACTTCCTAAGATGCACCACAGATTCATGGTATGTAGGAATAGATAGGAAATAAAAATTAGTGCTTCTACTGAATGACTTGATTGGGGGAGAATAAAAAGGGAAAGTAGAAGCAAAACAAAAACAAATGTTAAAACTTTTAAAATGTCAAAAAAAAAACCTATTAATTTTTTTTCTTTAAAGAAAAGACAAGAACAAATCTATCTCTTACAACAATGTAAGTACCATTGTGAAGTGTTTGTGTTACTAGTCCCAAAGCTGACTTTTGAGATTTTCATTCTGTTGTGTGGCAATTATTGTAGATCTTGGGGCAATGAGGATCCCTCTATATAAAAATAGCATGTATCAATCTTTTTTATTTAAATGCCCAGAATATTCTCTGATAATGGTTATAGTGACACACTCTGGTTGATCTGTAGAAGAACAGTGTCTACAGAACCTCCAGTGATTATGTGGGCAGCTATGGACTTGCCTTTCCCAATCTGGTGACCTCTAAAAATGTCTGGAATAGTTCATTATCAAAATCTGAAATTGGTTGGGTTTTTGGATTCTATCCCAATCTGAAAAAGGCTGTAATTTTTATTGACAGGTGAAAACTGTTGTTTTACGTTTGTTTTATAAAGTTACACTTGCCTTACATTTGACACCATGGAAGAAATAAAAAAAATTGTCATTGCAGGAATAACAATATATTGTTACTAGTCCACTCTGTAAACAATTTGAATACATTGAAATAATAATTATCCAAATTAAAGAAATTATACATTAATTATTTTTTTAAAAAATGCAATGAGCTCCACTACACATGTGTTTCACTACACATTAATTTATGTAATTTGGCTAAAATAAATCCAAATAGAAACAACAAATGTACTTTCAACAGAAAATATTTAATCTTTATAAAATCATTCAAATATCAATCTCAGGGAAAGTGTTGCTGTTTGCAAACTAAGGAATAAAAAACTCATAAGGAAAATAGCTTAATTAAAAACTACTATTGTATATAGAAATAATGGGGTTTCTTCTATTTTGTTCATTTAGGGAGTTCTAATCAAAGGAAAAGGCAAATATGTTTGAGTGACTGTGATTATTTATGCAACATTTGTAATGCCAGATATACACTGTAATGTACTTATTGCCAGCATTTTCTTCTAAGTGACAACTAAACCAAAAGCTTAGCCTGTCCTAGCAAATAAACCAATTTCAGCCTGTCTAATCTGTATTTATTATGCAAGACATTGTATGGCTAGCAAAATAAGCTATCTGCCACTATATTTCTTGCTGACCCTTAATGAAACGTCTATCAGTCAAAGAAGAACTAGAAAAGGGAAGGGAAGTGAGAGGGGAGAGTAGGAAATAGGCGAAGCTTTAACAGCTCTGAGAGAATCCTTCTGAGCAAATCTTGCCTGGTGAGTCCAACGGAATAGCGCCTGTCTTCAAAATTAATGAAAAAAGTTCAATCAAATGCCTGAGTCCGCAAGCTCTGGGGTTGTTTAGGCAGACTCAGCCGACCCTTCCGGGAGAATCAGCCCCGGCCACCGCTGCAATCCAGGGAGGTTGGGCGGAAAGGTTTCCTACCTTGGAAGAAGAACGCTTTGCTGCCATTGTGCAGTCCCGGAACTTGCCGCACTCCAGCCACAGAGCCCCACAACTGCAACTCGCTCAGCACATCGATCTGCACTGAAGGGTCCACGCCAAGGCCGTGAGCTGAATCCAGAAAAATAAGAGGTTACCACTAAATGGAGGCAACTTTTCTCCCTCCGTCGTTTTCTTCCCCGACCCCGATTTTCTCCTCTCTAACGACTGACGACCCGAGAGCCCCTTGGATCAGCCACACCTACTAGTCAGGCTACGAGACCTAGTTTTGTGCGGTCCATTGGCAAAAGTTCTGGGGGTCTGATGTTGGCCTCCAACTCTCCTCCCGACTACTGGCGGAGACGGACCCCAATTCTCCTCGTGAGAAACAAAGAGCTGGTCAGATCAAAGGCATCACGCGGGGGTTGGGGAAGGAGGGGAATGGATGGGGGACCCTCGGGTCCTCGCCCTTACCTGAGTTCAGGCAGAAGAGCAGGCACAAAGTGCTCACGAATCCCGGCGGGGACCCCATAGGGCTGGAGAGGGAGCGGCGATCAGTCCATAGTCCTCCTCCGGAAGCGGATCGCGGGGCGGGGGGGGTGGGAAGCAATGCCCGAAGCCTCCCGAGCTTTCTCTCGCGGAGGCTCTTTTCCCTCAGGAGAAACGGAGGCTCCTGCAGGCGAAGCTCAACGAGATCGGGACCAGCCCCAAAGCTCGCAGCATCCTCCCGGGCGTGTCAAGCCGAGAGCAGCAGCCTCTCCGCGCCGCAAAGCCCGAAGCCGACCCTGTTCCTAAAGCAGTGTGTGTGTGTGTGTGTGTGTGTGTGTGTGTGTGTGTGTGTGTGTGTGTGTNGGCTGAAGTCAGCTGGCCAGCACACATGTGCACGCTGGCCAGCTGACTTCAGCCTTCTTTTGAGGCCATTTTTCACCCTCTGGAGCCTTCAGGGAAGCTTTAGAGGCCACCAGAGGGCATCCAAAGAAGTAAGGGGGGCTATTTTCACCCTCCCCAAGGCCCTAGAAAGACTCTAGCACCCGGGGAAGGAGGAAAACTGCACCAGAAGCGAGGGGGTTGCTGATGGGGCGTGCATGCGCGCCAGTACAGCTTGCAGGGCAGAAAGAGTGCCCGCCTCAAAAACAGCGCCAGGCAAAGCAAAGTGCTTCCACCCCCCACCTTTCTCTCCCACGCAAGAAGATCCCACCACAAAAAGAGTGGCAGGTCAGCCATGCGATCACCTCCTACTGCCTGTTCCTTCTCACGTAAAAGAACACTACCCACCTCATCCCAGTGGTAAGGGCTGTCTGCCTGGTTCCCTTCCCCACCGTCCCTTTAGTGAGTGTGGCAGGTGGGGGTGGGAGAAGCGAGGCGCGCCTCTTACCTTTCCAGGTCCGTTGCGTTCCTCGCCCTTTTGTCCAATGAATCCCCTTGCAAAAAAAACCTCATGAGTTCAACTCTCAAGGTTTTTTTACAAGGCGCTTCACTGGATGAAAGGGCGAGGAATGCAACAGACCTGAAAAGGTAAGTGGAGCGCCTCGCGGCCCAACACTGCCCACCTCGCCCCAATGGTAAAGGCAGCCTGCCTGATTTCCTTCCCTGCGGTCCCTTTAGCGATGGGTGCCAGGTGGGGGGGAGAAGCGAGACCCGCGTCCTAACGCTACCAGGGACTGACAGCTCTTCTGCGTTCCTCGCGCTTTCGTCCATTATTATAGCTTCCTGTAAAAAAAACCTCACGAGTTGAACTCAGGAAGTTTTTTTACAAGGGGATTCACTGGACGAAAGAGCAAGGAACACAACAGGCCTGGAAAGGTAAGAGGCGCATCTCGCTTCTCCCCCCCCCCACCTGCCACCCCTTGCTAAAGGGACGGCGCGCCTCTTACCTTTCCAGGTCTGTCGCGTTCCTCGCCATTGTGACCAGGGAAGCCCCGGGTAAAAAAAAAAAACCCTTCTGGCAGCTTCAAGAAGTTTGACTGAACTTGCGAGAAGGATTTTTTTTTTACCAGCGGCTTCCCTGAACACAATGGTGAGGAACGTGACGGAGTGGTAAAAGGTAAAAGGTGCACCTTGCTTCTCATTTGCCCCAGAAAATAATAAGCCCTCCCTCTATAATAAGCCCAAGGCCATATTTTGTGGGGCAAAATAAAACAAGGCCCTGTCTTATTTTCAGGGAAACAGGGTTGTTTGCAGGACTTGTTATTTAGCAGCCAAAATGAAGCCTTCAGTTTCTTTCTTCCACACCCCTGATCTCAACCAGTTCTGCGCTAGCTTTGTATCTGCCTTTCTTTCGATGTCCTACAGGTATTGACTATGCATTGGCTACTTTTTTCAGTTAGAAACTAGATGGTCAATTGTTTCCTTTCGATATCCTGCTTTCAATCTCACTGTTTTCAAGAAGTTTCCCTTGTTCACCTCCTTCAGCAAAAGCTCTTTTGCTTTCTTTATGTAGTGCTCCCCCTTCTCTTTCTCAGGCTTGCCCTACAGAAATTCTTTCCTCATCTATCCCCTTCTCTCCCACAGGCTTGCCCCACAGAAGCCTCCTCTATCCTATCCCCTTCTCTCCTTCAGTCTTGCTTTACGATATACCTTTTTGGTGTGGAGAAAGAAAAATGGGAAATGAACATTGGCCAGTGCTAAGATACCAATAGCACTTAGAATTATATACCACTTCAGAGTGCTTTTGCAGCCCTCTCTAAGCAGTTTTCAGAGCCAGCCTATTGCCCCCAACACTCCGGATCCTCATTTTATCCACCTCAGAAGGATGGAAAGCTGAGTGAACCTTGAGTCTGGTGAGATTCGAACTGCCAAACTGCTGGTGCCTGGCAATCAGCAAAAGTAGCCTGCAATACTGCATTCTAACCACTGAAACCCGTAGCTCTTAGATCATAAAATTAGTGGGGGGATGCATGAAACTGTTCAAGAGATAAAGATTGCTTGGCTTTCTCTAGAAGACGGGGCATCAGTAAGAAAGTAACTAAGTAAGTAAGTTAAAATTCTTGGGGACTGTTTTGAGAAACAGAACACTAAATGGAAACAGACTTTGTGAAGCCAGCACCCTCTTTATTGATTGCACTATAATTCCCATCAACCTACCACAGTGTTTCCCAAAGTGTGGTATGCATACCCCCAGGGGTACGGGAAGAGTTTGGTGGGGGTACGTGTTGCACAGAAGTTTGCTGGGGATCACATGGGAATATCCACTGCACCGTGCTTATCTGCACCCACCGAACCAAATTATGATGATCTTCAGCTCACCCTGAAAAAAAAAAGGCTCTCTGCTCAGCTTTTAGATTGTTAGACTGGCTAGAGAGAGACATGGCACCAACAGGGTCCTGAGTCCTGGCATTTTGCAGGCAACCTGTCCTCTCACATTCCTTTGGAATGCAACCCACCACATGTGAATTAGATTTTGCCAATTATCCTATTAAAAAATAACGCTATTATTCTAAAATATGACTAACTCAATATTAAAAACTGTAAATATTTAATGC